ATATATATATATATATATATATATATATATATATATATATTGCTGACTGTCAGCAATTTTTGTATGGCGGTGTTACATTTCAATAAACTCTAAGGAGAAGACTCGCATTCATTCTCGGACAATCATATATATATATATATATATATATATATATATATGGGGAAATAATGTGAGTGAATTTGGATACAATATATACGAATCCAAAAACACGAAGGCATTCACATTTGATCAATAATCATGTGTAAAATACACTTTGTTTATCATAATAACATCTAAATTCATTGACTATTTCCGTTTATTGACTTTGTATTCATACAAATAAATTGATCGGACTTGTCAATTGAAAATATGAACTGATTATAGAATTTTTTTGAATGTATCGAATAATTTCGTCTGACTCTGAATAAAAGTGGCTATATGTTTAAAATCATTTACATTCCATGTAGATTGTACTTTACTAATTATAGGGTTAGTCAGAGAATGACTGTTTGATGGCTTAATTGACTACAGATTTTTTTAAAATAATAAATTCATTAATTTATTTTGTTTTAACATGAACGTGCCGATAGTCTGATTGAACCACCCTGTTCATCCATTATATATTGTTCAAAATTGGAGAAAAATTTATATATGACAAACATACAATGGATGACTTTTTGGCTAGGGGGAATTATCTATACGTTTATACGGTTTATACTCAAGTATTTTTTTACCGAATATACTATAAATAGATGACCACATATATACGGAGTTATTCGCAAATATTCTTCGGTATATACGGTTTATATTCTTATACGCAGCATATTCGTAACTTATTTTATTCGATATTTTCCCCTAGCTTTTTGGAAAATCGGGCATCTTTTACTCTCAATTATTTGTTCTGCTCATTTTGTTACATTTTCTCATTTTTCCATTTCTCTTTAACTTCGACCGTCTACTACATAAAACTCTACACATCAATGTATGTGAGTGAATTGTACGTTATGCGCACGTCCATTTACGGAATTTTCATACCAATATACACATATACATCCGATTTGAAATGTAGAAAACATGAAAAGGCCAACCATGGTGTGTAGTATACGCGTAAAAACATTATACGTATGAATCGAGAAAAAAAAATATCAATAAAAAATTTTGCTTTCGCAGACAAGTGTATAGATGAAAAATCGGAAAATAAAATTGTGACACACAATTACTAGTTTGCAGAGTTAATATATTGTTATTAAGGAAATTACAAATGAAGTGTGTACACTAAAAAAATCTATGTAAAACTCAATAAACAGTTTTCAGCTATCTCTTCAGTTGACGATTTTTTGTGAAACTCTAAAGTTCGATTAATTTTGAATTTTCGTATGCTCTATCTAAGTGAATATTTATAGATGATAGTGAACTTAATAAAGAAAAGTGTCTTTGATTTTTCAAAATCGTATATATAAAGAGAAATTGTAACAATTTCATATATGATGGATGCTTACAGTTAATCATATTTTATTAGAAGAAAGTAGAAAGATTCAGTTAGCAGTTTCAATAAAAAAAATCTTTCATCAACAAATTTTGTACATATACAGTTTCATGTCAATCTTTCAATTTCAATGAAAAAGGTCGAATCTATTTTCTAATTGTCCCAAATTGTTCAATCTTGGTCAAAGAAATAGTTTTCGGATAACATTTGGATTAAGACAGGTCTGGAAAATAATCATTCCGATACGAAGATAGCTATACATCTTTGATGTTTCCATAAACTAAATAAGAGAAACTTTATCATAGTAAAATAATTAATTTAAATTGAGTGTAAATAACTTAATACAATTTATATGACGCAGAGTTGCCATCCCAATCTTGGAATTGAGATAGGAATTATCGATTCTTTGGATGTTAATGAAGGAGCACTAAGTACTGCAAAATAACCCGAACATAATGAAAAACTCTTTTTAAGCGCGTTAGAAAATATATTTGTTTGAAGAGCACCCAGAGAGCTATTTCAATCTGCCACTTCTATTGTTCTCTACCGTCGTAATTCATTGTTGATAATTTAAAAATGTGGCTCAGTATCGTGCACGTATATAATCGATAATTTTACTATGAAACTAAGTGAAATGAAAAAGCTGTTAGTGGAATGTAAAAGTTAAGTTTCGCAGATTTATACGAACACGTTTTTAAATTCAAAATGAAAACAGACCATCAAATTCAAAAAAAAAAAATTCAATTTACACATTATAAATCTAGTATTTCAATTTGAATAACATCACAACATAAATATAATCGCACGTAATTTCTATAAATATTTAATTGTGCGTACCTTTTATCAAACGTTTCTTGGACAGTTTATTTATTTTTGGTGAATATTATCGATATTCCATTTGGTGGCCCTTATATATGAACCAATTATATGGAGACAAATCAAAACTGGCAATTAATACTACCACATTGAGTCGGTAATTTGGTTGTTGGAAAAATCGTTGGAATTGAACATGTGTATATATGATGTTCAAAATTTCTACCAATGGTTTTTTTGAGTTAGTTGCTAGTAATCACGACATCTTTAAAAAGCAAGTCCCCCATCGAATGCCAGCGAATACTGTCTGACATTTCGTGAACAAACTCAATCTGTATTCATGTTAATCACATTGGCTAAAGGTTGAAATACCAATTAAATGAACCAAATGAATAAAATCAAATGAAATGATTATATTAAATGCAGTAGTATTTTTTGCATTTATTCTCACCTCAACGAATTTTATCAATGAAAAAAAGGGGACTCTATATAGATTTTAAATAATATAAACTCATAAACCTATCATTTCCAAGAGTTTCTAGTGTAATTCTATCAAAGGAAAGAGTAATTTTACAGTTTATTTTTTAATATGTATCACATTGGCTAAAATCTATACATTCGGCTATCGTATCGTATAATTACTGAAATGAAACTACTGGTTTCAAATCCACTAGTTGCAATTTTACTATAAATGATTCACGATTTTCATTTTAAACATACGATTGTAATTCTACATTGATAAGTTCAAGCAAGATTTTTCATCCAAATATAATTTGTAAAGAAAACATCCACAAAAGTCTCTTAATACCATCATAGAAGTAAGTGAGAGAAACACCAAATTGTAAATGAATATATGCGCACCAAAATTTTCACCACTACCAACACAAAAATTATGAGAATTTTTCGATAGAGCCCACATATTTGTATAGATATACACACAATGAACTACAGTATTCGAATCAAATGAGCAACTATACTATTCTTGCCAATAGACACTCCTCTATACATAGATACAATACGTTGGCTATTCTTCATTTCTTTCGTCTTCTAATGTTGTGGGTCCTGTTACTTATTGAGCATGCTATTTATATCTTCGGGTTCGAATTTTGATCATGATTTCAACGAAAGATTGTATATCTTTAATGTATGTTATTTGAAAGCTTCATCAAGGTGCTCTGTTTCCATAGCAAACAATATATTACATGCATTAGTCGCGTAGAAAACATGATATACTAATTTCGTTCTCTTGGAAAATAGTTTCCAATACGTTAACTTGTATTCGATTGAACAATTGAAATTGAATTAGAAAATGGATTAGAATGTTCATTGTTGTAAATATAGTTGTATTTTGTTAACCTTTTCATCAATAGTGAAACCGACAAGATAAAACTACAATTCAAAGTCTTATACCATTGTGTAAACAAGATATATATTCCTGAAATATTTTGATAGTATACCAAAATTTATTATGAATGCGTTTTATCCATCGCAGTTTTTGATACGCATTTATGATAATTAGTAAAAAAAAAACTTAGAACAAAAATTATCAAATTACGTGCGTGCTTTATAAAGCCAAAGAGAAATATACAACGAGTGAATGTGTTCGAATATTGTTCTACGAATTATTTAAAAATATGTGTGCAATTTAAAAAAAACTATGGAATCGCAACAACAACAACAACAACAACAACAAAAAAATCATAATTCGTTATCACCCGATGTAAATCGTTCGTGTGAGAAAAATCATCGTGGAAATGGTTTGGCTTCAGCTGAGTTTTTGTCCGATGATGATAACTCGGAACATAATATTGACAATATGAGCTATAGCCAAGAACAAATTCGTTCGATGAATCAGCAATTAGTTCAATTGAATCCGGGTCTATCATATCAACAACAAATACAAGGCAATTTACCAGATCAAGGAAAGGTAAAGAATTGAAGATTTAAAAAAAAAATAGAAACCAAAACATATAATTTTCACAACGACAAAACCTTTCGTCCCAATATCAATTTCAGTTGCAGAAGAATGCAGCAAAGCTTTTTCTCAATGGACATAATATAACAAAAGATATCGTAATGGAAGACAGTGAACAACAATTGTGCAGTATGTATCCGTCACAGCAGCATTCTGACTACATTATAGCTGATTATATGGATAAAATTGCAACACGTATCAATATACTTGAAACTGAATTAAAATTTGCTTGGAGTGCTCTAGACCTTCTTTCAAGTGAGTATGGTAAAATGTGGACACGATTAGAAAAATTGGAAAACATATCGATTGAACAAAAGTCTGTGGTGGCAAATTTGATGGGTTTATATGGGGCAACTAGTTTGAATGGAAATCGCACAGCGACATTTCCAACAGCCCGCGAATTTACTGAGATGATGGGAGATTTACGAAATGAAGCTCTTGGCGATTATGATACAGTTGACGGAAATGCACCAAATTATGATTTTGAGCGCAGTCAAACACTTTTTGATGATACTAAAACCGGTATGGATAGTGCAATGGCAGCCAGTCGTATAAGTGTAGATATCCGCCAATTGCAAGAACAGCAAAAGAAAATTGAACAAAATATTCAAAACAACGAGCGATTATTCGATGAACTTAATGCTTTATCATATTCATCTAATCCAAATAATCAACCGATATTGGATGCTAAAATGACTGACACCACAAACTCGCATTCGTTGCGTGAACTGTTAGGTAGCGACTGTATAAAAGATGGACTGGAAGAAGGAATTGATTTGATGCAACGAGAACGATTAAAGCAACAATATGGTGATCAAAATGCAACCAATTGGTATATGTTTCGGAACTTAATGCAGAATGAAACTCAAAACAAACGTACGGATGCGGATTTTTTTCGGTCGGGCGAAATAAATCGGGACCTGTATAGCAATCCAATTCAATCCAATGCACCGAATATATTCGACGATCTGGTGTGGCTAGAGCAGCAACAGCAACAAAATAAACTACTGAGTATTGGAAGCGATGGAAATATTATTGAAATATTGTTACCCACAGAGAATGTGTATGGCGAACAAGCGACTGGCATTTCGAGGCCGGTATCGTCATTGGGTATGATTTATGAAGATAATGAAGAACAAGAAAATGAACATCAGAGCTCTGCTTCTGAAGTTGATGAGATGCGACTCTATGCCAATGATCAGAAAAAGGATTTATCACAATCACCGTTAAGTGATGCGATAAACAAGGAAAGCGTCAATATGAAGAATCAAGGAAGAAAAGCTAAAAAGAAAAAATCACATCGAAAGCATGAATTAGATGGTGCTCAAAATTTTACAAGTACATTGAGTGAAGAGAAAACTCCAACATCACCAGTAAAAATGACAAAAGAAGAAACAATCACATTCATTATAGACGAAATTTCAAAAATCGAAGATCTTTCACTTTTCTCATTGGTTCAAATGAATAGTGTAAAAGATTTAATCGGTAATGAATTTACATTTTTCAACAAAATTAATCAAAACAACAAACATTTGCTACTCATTCTATTAAATCCAATTACATCATCGGACATGTATGAAAATACACAGCAAAAATGCGACCAGATAATGCAAAAATTGCGCAAAAATATGGGAATTTTGCATACAATGTTGGATAATAAAAATGACTTAAGCGATATTAAACCGAACGAAGCAATCGATATTGATGAAATTTTGGAAACATCTAGTAGCATCATTGATGATGACAGCCGAAGCGAAAAACGTTCCACCACTGATCTTCCAAAATTACTACTGTCCAAACGTTATGATCCACTCTCATCAAAAAACGATGACATTTATAGTCATAGTCGGAACTTAATTCGCGATAATTTTAGCTTAAACGAACAACTTAAATTACTGGACAACAAAGAAAGCGAAATAATATGCAAGAAATCAATTAAATCAATTACCGAAGAGCTAGTAGCAAATGAACGAAAGAATTTACTTGACAATTTTGATGAAAATGCGATAATATGCGGAGCAAATCGCACACAATCTCTCTGTCATTTATCATCAATTCGAAATGATTCGTATCAATATTCCAGCAATAGCAGTATTTACAGCAATGATGAATATATAAAATCATTGAAAAAGAGTCTGGAAAGACATAATTCAATGTTATTCTTATTGCATCTTCAAAACTCAAATTACCAAAGCAGCAACGATATTCGCACTGATGCAAAAGATACGCCAGCAGGTATATAGAAGAAAAATTAAAAATTGATTATTTCCAAAAGCAGAATGTGAAAACTAAACGGATTTTCATTCAATACAGGATTAAAAATGATCGATGATGAAATTTTAAATAATGGTGGACAAAGCAGTCCACCACCACCAGCACCGAATGGTGAAAACTCAACTGAAATCTTTCCACAAAACAAAACCATTCAACAAAGACAAATCCAAGATGCATCTTGGAATCCATTTTATACACCATCTATTCAGCAACAAGAACCACAACCATCATCAATGAATCCATTTCATGCGGATCTTATGAAACAACAGGTATATTGTGTTTTCAACAGACATTAGGTTTGAGCTATGGATATAGCGGCTGCTATTTCATAGCCGCTATTCATAGGCGCTATTTATCTCGTTTTGATGCATTTATGCATATTTTGCGTTATTTTCTACATCTCTCTCGTACTCACATTCAAATGTACAAAAGAATAGTAGGCTATGATATTCCTAGTCGGTGTTACACACAGCACACGAATTAAATAGCGCCTATGAATAGCACATATGAAATAGCAGCCGCTATATGCATAGCTCGAGCCTAATGTCTGGTTTTCAATTAAAATGAAATATAAATTATTTGCTATTGACCATATCTCGATTTCTTTCATGAAGTTGCAATCGCAATGTGATAGCAAAAAGGTGGAACCTCAACACCAATCGCAAAACTATTTATCTTCTACTGGATTATGTATCAACATGGAGTTATCGCCGAAGAAAACAAAAAGCGACTCAGGTCTATCGTCTATGAGTGGTTTTTCAAGTTTGGAAAAATCGCCAAATTCACCATGTCACAAGCCACGTATACCTAGTGCACAAGCAAATCTACAACCTCATTTTCAAACACAACCACCATTATATGCAATACCATATAATAATGAAACAAAAGGCACAGATAATGCTGACAAAGTTGATTACATTTTCAGCGAGGAGAATTTAAATTACATTCGCGAACTATCAAAAAACGTACCGATATGTTCAGTTTTTGAGAATAAATCAATTTTTAACGTTGATCAGTCGCGAATGGCACACGCACAAAATTTTTCGTACGATCAATCAACTCAACCTCTGCCCCTGGCGCCTATTAATATGACATACTATAAGGTGCCCGATAACATTTCTTATGAATTTCCGCAATCTGACAATGATTTAACTTCAATTCAAAATCAACGAAAGATCTATCAAGATATGGTAAATATCAGTTGGAATCTACCTCAATATATAGAAAAAATGATGAAATTCATTTGTTTTTTTTTTTTTTTTTTTTAGCGTATTCGTTCAATGACCGGTTCAGTATCAAGTTTAGCTGCATCAGTTAAGTCACAAAATAGAGTCACCGATGACGAAAGTTCCCAACCGAAACAAAAACACAAAAATCTTACCGACCGTTTAGTATTTTATCCTTCATCAAATAATATGGCTGATTATAATAGCAGCATGAATTTGAACTATATGGGATATACTAAAGATGGCCCGGAACCAGAACAGCAACCACAATCTCGGCAACAGTATTATGTACGACAAGCATCTCCAGGTGAACATCGAAAGCAGCAACAGCTACACCAAGAACAACTACAACAAAAACAACAACAGCAAAAGCAACAGCATGATGCGCACATGCACCAAGAGGATATTGGTGATGTAAGAACTTATATGAGAAGTTCATCGGTGCCTGCCCGAACTGTATACTATCCTGAATATGGGGAACATTCTGATGGCAGCAATCGATACATAGCAAATCAACAAGGATACGTTTCGATATCATCTCAACCAATGCAACACTATGTTCAAGTTGCATATCAAAATGATCAGCATCCTGTAGTCGATAAAAAAGATCCAACAATCGCTGGTAATCATAAGTATTTAAATAAATTCTCTCAATGGATACCAGAAAATTTGAAATTGAAAAGAATTTCAAAACGCTACAGAAGTCATTCGTTACCAGCCGTTGCTGATACCGATGATGATTCAATTATACAACAGCTACCAAAAGTTAAGGGAATGCCCAATTTTCAACAAAACAAACGGCACTATGGTAAACCACAAAAAGATCCAAACACCAAATCAACAATGTTTAAATCTCCAATTAAATCTGGTCGATCGTTTTTACAACGAAAAAGTCTATCGCTTTCCACTCCATTGGCTCGGGATGAAAATAATAGTAGCAAAAAGAAAAGAAGATCAATTACATCGACAATGACAAATCTTATGCAAAAAGCAAACGTTTATCGACGTCACAGTTTTTCACACTCATCACTATCTAATGAATATACAAAATTGGGAGACGCACGACAAATGGGCCATAATCAAATTCAAACAGCTGGCAGTTCTTCTTCAAAATTTTTGATTTCGAAAACAACCAGTCAGACGTATAGTCAATCGGACCCTGAATCAGTTTATTCCGATTTTCTATCTGATAATGAAGAAAAAAGTGCAAGCGATACCGGTGACCGTGATATAAGTAATGCTACCAACATATTCGCCACTATGGATGAGTCTGCTGTACATCAACGTTCAGAGAGCAAAGAACACGATCAAGGTATTCTAAAGTCGTATGATTTTGTATTGAAAGGGACGTAAAAATTTGATGCCGTACTTTGAATTCGTGAAATATACATTCGTATTAGTTTGAAAAAAAAAACACATCAGATTTTTGTGTCTTTTCGAATTTATTTTGTGATACACTTAGCCTAAAATAAAACAATGTTGTTTATTATAGTGTTCCAAACGATAGGGGAAATAAAACATTCAACAGCTCCAACATCTGGAGTTTCAAATATATCGTCCCATTCTCAACAAAATCATAGTGGAAGTGAATTAAGCAGTTCAAGCACAAATGGTGACAAGGCAACACCATCCGATCCAAATGCGAATCATGAATCAAATGACAAATTCATATTTTCGAGTACCAGTATGGAATTTGCAGTGAGTCGAAAAATTGCAAAATATCGACAAAAGAATGTGAGTTCGGATGATATAAACGGACAAAAGCATCTCAGTGATGGCAAAAATAATTTAACTGGCAGTAGTAGCGGTGGCAGTGGTGCAGACGGAGCCGACGAAGATATCAATTTCAATAAAAGTCCGTCGGATGCATCTTATTCAAATAATTTAAAAGATATGAATAATGGAGCACAACGATTGTATCAGCAACAACAACAACAGCAGCAGCAACAAACATCATTGTAAGTGTAGAATAATAAAAATAAGTACACACAAAAAAATTTGCGGTAAATTTTAATGTAAATGCGGTTACTGAGTAGTGTGTGGTTAAATTTAAAGGCAATGCGGTTAAAATTTCGTCATTTGGATTCTTTAATATTAGAATTCACCGCAATTTACCGCATTCATACAAAAATGACCGCACACGCATAAGAGTAAAAGTCGAACATTCAATCCACCATATTCGAGTATGAATTGATTGTTATAAAACA